TCTTCTGGCCAGTTTTCAGTTGCCCATGAAGCAACAGCATCTGTCCCTCATCTCTTCTCAGTGCATGCAAGGAACGCACTTCATTTCTGTCACCTCCCTGGGAGGGTTTGCTCTTGCCTGAAAGCTGCCCAGCTTTGTTGGATATAGGAATCACAGAACGGTTTGGGTTGGAAGGGACCTTAAAGACCATCCAGCCCCACCCCCTGCCCTGGGCAGGGACACCTCCCACCAGACCAGGTTGCTCCAAGCCCCCTCCAACCTGGCCTTGAACCCCTCCAGGGATGGGGCAGCCACAGCTTCTCTGGGCAACCTGGGCCAGGCTCTCACCACCCTCACAGCAAAGAACTTCTTCCCCACTTCTCATCTCAATCTCCCCTCTTTCAGTTTAAAACTGTTCCCCCTCATCCCATCGCTCCCTTCCCTGATCACGAGTCCCTCCCCAGCTTTCCTGGAGCCCCTTTAGGGACAGGAAGGGGCTCTAAGCAACAAGAACTTCCTGAAGAAAGATTAAGGTCCCATTCCCCTTCAGTCAAACCAAGGGCTAAGACTGCACAAAGGGGGACTGGACCTTTGCTCCTTCAAATTACGAGAGGCACGACATTTACTGAAATGGGAGTTCAGTGCCCTGACATTTTTAACAATACAGGCCTTAATTCTTATTAATTCATTGTTTTCTTATTTCATCACCACTTTTCCTAAGCCCACATTCAGCACCCATGCCAAAAAGGGCAGGAGCCACAGTTCAGGGGATGCAGCTGGAGGGAAGGGAGCTCACGCAGGCCAGTGGTATGCTGGTTTATGCAGGTCCAGACCTTCAACATGTGCTCCACGGATGCCTCATTAGAGATGAGGCAGCACAGAGCAAAAGGGGCTAAAAAGCCACTGGGCTCTGGCTCCAGCCTTGGGGTGGCTGTGGGAAGGCAATCATCTGTCCCCTCTGCAATTCTCTTCCATCAAGGGTTTGAAGAAAGTTCCTTCCTTGGCTGCTATCATCACACTTCATTAGAGGAGAAACTTCAATACCAAGGAAGCCGAGCCTCCTTCCTCCACCATGAACATCTCCAGCACCTTCCTCTCGGCTGTTCACATCTCTTGAGGACAGCACATGAGGAGGTAGGTGTATTCCTCACATGAAGCTGTGCACCATTTCACATGACTCCTACCTGTACTTCCAAATTAAACACCATTTCTTGCATACAACTCTGAATCTGCTGCCTTTCCCAGGGTTCCCAAGGACGGGCTGGAAGCCCAGTTGCTTTGATGGCATCTGCACCTCATCTGACTTTCAGCACACAAATGCTTGTTGGGGAGGCGATTTGGGAGCTTGCAGAGCTCCCAGCGGTTCACAGAAGGGTGAGGGGAAAAAGGGGTAAAAGAGCTCCAAAACAACAGTTCATGAGCATAAATTTCCTGGGGAGGCTGCAGAACACTCTCACCACTGCTGCAACTGCAGGAGTTCCCCTCTGCACATCCCCATCCGCAACTCCGCGGGGAGATGGACACAGGGATTCGGTGTAGCGTGGCTGCATGCTTCATCCTTCCTGCCCCTCCACTGCTGACCTCCAGCCAGACCTCACCCTGGGTCAAGCAGGCTCCTCCCGAGCCTACAAACTGCTCTCAGGGGGCTCACTCCTTGACTTCACCTTCTTCTTCTTCTCCCATGACGGGGACCTCCATCCCGCAGCTAGAGTTGACATGCACCCAACAAGCACTTTGCCCTCAAAGGTGTCATGACCCTTGAACTGGGCTGCGGGTTTAATCGCATGTAACTAATTAAGGGAACATCTCTGCAAGCTTGAGAACTGCCCAGTTGTAGGTTCTCACCCTTTTTCGGTCACTCTGGGCTCTGGGATTTGCTCCTTTTTTCCACCTCTGGCTGGGGCAGGAAATGTCACTGCTGGCAGCAATTTAACTGGGCTGATTTCAGTGCTTGACGAGCAATTAGGGGATGGGCAGGTTTCCGTCTCCTGAAGGCGAGGGCAGGAAGGTCAGAGAAAGCACCCAGCGTCCGCCAGCGGCAGACAGAAGCCCTGGAGGCCCCCAGCTCCTCGAAGCCCACCTCAGGCATAGGACTCATCTCTGGAGGACAGAAAACAGCACTCTAGGTTTTATTCTTGGATCTGCTCTTCAAGACTGACCCAGAGAATTTTGTACTTTTTGGGTCCAAAAAAGGGAATTTAAATGGTGAAGACTTGAGCATCAAAATTTTTAGAAGTCTGTGCCTTCTCTCCATTGAGCATCTGGGCAGCAACACATGGCTTCTGAGCTGAATTAAAAGTCATTTCTGAGCATTCTGGCACAGAAATCAAGCGTACTTGCAGCTCTTCAAATATTCTCTCTTCTTTCTCCCCTTTTCTCCCAAACTCATGTAAGGACAATACCTTCCTAAATGCATCTCCACAGTGAAGATGTAAAAAATATACAGAGTCATTAAAGAGCCATCAAGGTGGTTCTACTGTAAAGCGCACTTTGCTCTCCTGATAGCACCCCGGGAAAGCAAAAAGCAAATGGGTCTTGCCCTAGTCCATAGTTCTCCTCCCTCGGATTTTCAATTAAACATTTTAAATTTGCTTGTTACAAAATGCATTAAAAGTAAAACTAATTTGCATTACTTTGGACATTTTTTTCATAAAGAAGAATAGAAGATTTATCCCTCAAGTTAATCCCTGGTATAAGCAGCCATCCCACTACAACTCCCGAGTAAAAATAATAAGGAAGCAAAGTCAATAGAGTCATTATATAGAGCTCAGCAAAGCCGGGCTAATCTATAAGTAATGTAACAACCGCACAAACACAACCGCAAAGCAGCAGGCAGAAAAACAGCAGCTTTTAAACTCGCATATAGAATTTCACATTGTGTCTTGCAGAAATGTGATGTTAGATTTCTACTGACTGAGATTAAAACACTACAGAAAAGACTATTAGTCCTCCCACTGCCGCCACCAAAGCTTTGGTATTCAAGCAGCAGGGACTTCTGCTGCCACTTCAAGAAGTCAAGCTGTTGCAGAATTTCCAGTGCGTCTTGTGAAACTGAAGAGGAAAGCGTGGTGACTGTGATCGTCCACGGCGCGTGAGCTATTTTTGCAGCTGAGTGGGTCTCTGGGTAACCTTCCACACTTGAGCAATTAATTCTAGAGTTGAAGGCAACTCTACACTCGAGGATCTTCAAAAGGGAGAGAGAAAAAAATCACGATGCCACCTCGGGTTCATGACTTTGATTCGTAACAGATGCGGGGACTGTAGCCCTCGTGGTCCCGTGTCAAGTCTGGAGATGTTTTGATGAATTCTGAGCAGATGGAGCATAAACACGATCCCTCACCCATGCACATTTACTGCCTATCAAGTGATTGCACATTCCCGAAAACCCTACTGGGCCTTAGCAGACGGACCTCCCACCCGAATACTCCATCCACACTCTCCAACAGTGAAAACCCTTTTTCCCTTTCTTTCTGACCACAGTATCTACCATGATGCTACACTGCCAGAAAGAAGAGTCACCAAATTTGAAACCCCAACCAAGAGGTCAGCAGGCTTGGCCAGTGACCCAACATGGAGACACAACAATTGGCCTCACCCAGCACCAACCCTCCCTCTCACATCTCCTTCCCACCACAGGACGGTGTCCCTGAGGCTCGAGGAACTTGTGGTCTCCTAAGAGGGACCGTCACATGTCACCCATGGAGCTCCACAACACACATCCTCAACCCACAGCACCCAGACATGTCCCCCAGCGAGAGTCATCACTATTAAATGGGGACTCGGAGTGCCCAAGGACCTAAACCTGCCACCGCTAACTTACAACCTGCTCCTGTAGCCTGAGTACATTAGCATGGCAACTCTTCCCTTCCTAATATTCTCTGCCCTATCGCACACATGCAGGCTTATCGCAGGCTGTTTATCTCATTTCTCTTCCAAGAAAAATTAACATGGAAGCAGACTTTGTTTTTTCTTTCCAGAGAGACAGTATTTTAATATTATCCCTGTAAGTCAAGGCAATTTGAATGATTATCTTACTTAACGATGCTGCTTGTGCTGCCTCCAAAATTGCATTCTGCTTCTAAGAGCACCTGAACAGCTATTCTTTTCTGGTTTAATACTTTTTTTTTCTTTTCCTTTCTTTCCTGGCAGTTAAGGTGAGTCAAACTACCGTCTGCCCTTTCAACCTGGCGTTTTATTACCCCGTAACCAGGCAGGGAGAAAGAAAACCTCTCTCTGCCCAATTAAACGATTAAACTAAATCTCCTATAGCCCACAGGAAATGATCTGAGTTTGTTAAAAGGAAATCACTAATATTTGTTATCTTACACAATCACTTTAAGGGGATTATCGAATACACCTGTTCTTTATACCATACAACTCAGACTAAATTAAAGACAAATTTCACACTTAAAAAAAAAAAAGAAGTCACTCCAGTTAAACTACTCCAAAGAGGTATATATTTATGTGACCAACGCATGCCATCTGTTTGATCTGCAAAAAGGGACTTTACCATAGAAGTCTGAGGTCCTGAGGTCTAACTCATGCTGTGTGTGTGGCACCAGGTACAACTGGCTCCTTCCCTGCGCATACGGCTCCAGATTACTGTTATCATGAAAGTATTGTTTGTGCATGCTAACAGCAAATCATCAGCTGCTCCATAATAGATGCCCACAGCATCCATGACTCACTGTAATTTGAAGGCAATATTAAAAAGATATGGCCATTACACAGGCAAACATGGTTATTTCCACTACAGAAGGCATTTAATTCCCTGCTCATTGCTGTTCCCAGGGGACCGCGTCAACCCGGGGAACATGCCTGCTGCCAGGCTGCAGCACTGGATGGTGGTGTCTCCAGAATGTGACCCTACCACACAACGGCACAGCCTACATAGATGGAGTTTGGCCCCACCTGCACTCAACTACCACCCCCACCTTTAGGTACCTACTGAGGACAACAGGGAAAGACACTACCCATCACGGGTCCATGGGACATGTCAATAATCACAAGATGGAGCTCACCGCAGACACTTTGCTCACGACGTCCCTTGCGACGGCGAGGCCCTGCGCGAAGGTGCGGGCGGCCACGAACGCTCGTGTCACTTGTAGCTTGAGCTTCCGCGGCACGTCCCCGAAGGGCTTCAGCTGCTCGGTGTACTTGCTGACACACTCGAGGTACTCGTCCGTGAAGTGGTACTGGGGGTTGACCAACCGGAACATGCGCTCCAGCAAGCGCGCCCAGAACTCATTGAGCATCTCCTCCAGGTTGACATTGCCACCCACGTAGTACCGCTTCAGCTCCACGAAGAGGTCCTTGAACAGCTCCGAGTTCTGCATGTACAAACGGCCGTATGTCCGCACAAACATGTCGTTCAGCGACTTCTCAGCGTTTTCGAGAAGTTCTTTGAAGAACTCTAGAAAAGAGGCAGAGAAGACACGGTAAACACGGGCATTGGGTTGTGTGGTCGCACGCTGCTACAACCACCACCATTGCTTAACTGGAAAATTCAGCTCACTGAGACCATCACCCAAATGAAATGGAAAAAGAAAAGACTCTCTAAAAATTTTCCAACCATTTACATATCTCACAATTCTTGCTTACTCTTCATAAAGCACACTGCCCCTCAACCTCCTTCCAGACCCGCAGACTTGCACGAGCGAAATCTCTTTTGATGCAAATCTGAACACCACGACAAAAGTCAGCAAAATGAAGAAAAAAAAAAAAGCCAATTTCTTGTGTTACTGTTCAGCCCTCTTAAAAGAAATAATTTCAAAGCACAAGACTATCAGAAAGCAAAAAAAAAAAGAAAGGTGTTTTTTTTCTTAAACAGACATTTTGCACAAATAGGTCTTTTCAGTTCTTGTCAGTTCATTTTCTGAAATCATTATAAACAAGCCTTAAAAATTAACAAGTTTTAATACATTTTAAAAACAAACCTCAAAATCTACCTGCAGGTTCTTTCTCTCCCACCTTGCAAGTTTGCTAGTTCTCAGGGCAGGGCCTGTATCTAATTACCTAATTGGTCCTGATTGCAGACGGGGCTTCAGATGTTTGTGGCAGTACCAAAAAACCACAATTAAGCCAGAATTTCCTCAAAATTCATTGCTCAAAATCCAAGGGCTAAACACTTGGGACAAGAACGACAAAAGAGATTTTTTCAGATGGCAAAGGACGGATGGGGGCCCTTGGGTTTCATGGCTTTCAAAAAGCAAAGCCCCGCTTGGGTTCCCCGTCCCAGCACACCAGACAGCCTGGGGACAGAGAAGTCACCGCATCTCAGCAGTGCCACATATATGTCTCTGATGCTGATAATGAGCTGATCTGACCATGTCTGGCATGTCAGATACATCTGCCAGGTCAGTTTAAAGAGCATCTCCTTCCAAGGCAGTGCCACCAAAGCCATGGCATATCCACCCACGCAAAGACACCCTACCACAAAACCTTTGCCTTGGGGATTTAGTGTAGATGAGCTACAATAAAATAAACAACAGGGGAGGGGTCCATTAAGTCAACTGCATTTGGGCCATTTTGGAACAAAACTCCATGCTACGTTGCCTTATGAAGGAGGTAAGGAGAGCAAGGGTAGGTACCACCCAGGACATGCCACCATAGGGACGCTGGCACCCTGGGTGTGGGTGCAGCCTCTCCCTACCACGTGCGCCAGGAACCATATTATTTTATGCATGCCACCAGCAATTGAAGATTCTGACCTCTGCTTTTCTGTGACTCATATTCAATAAATATTTTTAAATAAAACATGCCTGTGTGGTTTTTTAATCCTTAAAGGAGTAATGTTTAGGGCCAGAAGCTGTTAGAAGGGGGGAATGGGAGAGAATATTTTTGGCCCAGTGTAAATTTAAACCTTGTTAAAACATATAACAAGTATGCTGAAGTTCAGATTTTCATCTTCAAAGTGCTCCAGTACAAACAAAGCCTAACACAGAAAACATTTTCTGGAAAAACTGAAACATTCTTCGAGTTCCTGACGAACAAAGTCATGGGGCTCGGGGCCTGACACGGCTGTATATAATGCAGCCTCTTAGGAGCACGAGAGAAATGATCCAGGGAAGAAGAGATTGATTTCAAACACCCGACATGTCCTCTGTCCAATATCAGCAGGAACCTCCACTTTTGTTCCCATGACTGGCATTTCCTCTCCAGGAAGATTTCTTTCTGTTGAGTTTATACTATAGAGATTAGTTTGGTGTATATTAATTTCTAATTCACTTAATCATTTTGAAGGCTCACTTCCTTCCTTTCCTCAGACTTTTCAGTATCACCAAATAAGTTGTACATTTAAATACTTTTGTGCCAGGCACAAGAACTGGCAGATGCATCAAGAAACTCTTCAAAAGGCATTAGATTTTGAAATTATATTGATGGGAAATCCATTAAATACTTCCAACCACTAGACTAAAGGAACCCAAAGCAATGTTTTAGGCCAGGAAAGTTATCTCAAGTAATACATCCATATTACCATAACCAATTTATTCTCTTGCCCAAACTCCTTTTATTGGTTACACTCCAAAGTGGAAGCTGAATAAACTGTATCCAGGCTTTAGAGCACTTCATCTCTTAGCTATTTTTCATGTGGGCTAGAACCAGGTATGTTCATTAAATATCCTGGGGGTAAAAAAAAAAAAGCAGCCTAATTAGCATCAAATAGCTTTGCACCTGCAGTCTTCCAGCCAGCAGGTTTTCCTTGCCCAAAAGGAAGGATAAATAGAGGAAATGAAAACTTCCCACCAAACCCAGCCACTTCTGAAAGCCCACCACACAGCTGCTGGAGAAGGCACCACGCAGGTGCAAAGCCATCGTCCCTGCTCGAGCACCGGCCAGCGTCTTCTCAGGCCCCTTCTCAAGTGCCCCGTTCCAAATAAGAAGGGGAGGAGGACAGGGGAGGCTGTGTGCCCACCACATCCCACAGCCCTCCTGCCCCACATCCCACAGCCCTCCTGCCCCACATCCCACAGACCCTCCCTGCGCCGTGCCAACGGGATGCCCCAGTGACTGGTGCCGGTGGCTTGGCCCATGGGTGGCCTCGCTAGGCCCCGGAGCCTGCTGGGGTGTGGGTAAGGTGGGGAGGAAGGATGCCGAGGGGCCAGCGAGCAGTGATGCACCCAGCAATGGGACCTTCCTCCACACTACGCACAGCGTTCGTAACTCGGTCAGTGGGATTAAATGAGATCTATCTCTAGGTTTTACTCCAGCTGGTGGCATCCTCAGTTTCTGTCTCCCCGTCAAGAAACCAGCTTGGGCACAGGAAGGTTAAGCTTTTCTCTACGCAAACCATGGCCATAGACGTCTGCAATGAAGAGAAGAAAGCCCACCAGTCCTTTCCTTTTTATGACTTAAATGCTAATCTGACTAGTAACTCCCTACATCTAATTAGATATTAATTCTCCCCTTCACAGAAACAAGCTGATTAACAAACACCAACGTAACCCAGCATTAACCTTGCCACTACAAGAAGAAAAATGGCAAGTTCCTCTCTTACGTCTTGACTGTTTGCTGGGTAAAATAAATGACCACCTTTCATTTGTATTAGAAGTTGACTTGTTCTCAAACAAAGCAAACACACAAAGGCCTGGGTTGCTTATTTTACAGCACTGTAAAAGCACGTTTTACAGCTGTGTTGCAAGCAATCTGTACTCATTAAATTATCACTCTGACAGCCTTCCTGTGAAAAGCTGTCAAAGGCAAACATTTTTCACAGCCAACAAATCATACTTTGCTGGTGCTCCCCAAGACGCCGCTATCCGGAGGGATGGCAGGCTCTCTCTCCCCTCCCAGTCACCTTGCTTAAGTGCCCAGGACAAGGGCTGGCCCCTCTGTGGACAAACAGGCATAAGCACACACACAGTGCCGAGCAGGGCTTCACAAATTTCCCCCAGGGAGCTGTGTGTGGCTTGAAGGTCTCCCTGGTTCTCTTTCCTGAGAGCAGAAGAACACGAAGAGATGCCTGGGCTACCCAGAGAGGACAGACAAGGCGCTGGGCTCATGGGGCTCAGCCAGCTCTGGCCCAAGATATGGGAGCAATTCCACTGTTTCAACCCATCTCATCGCCAGCTCTGGCCCAAGATACGGGAGCAATTCCACTGTTTCAACCCATCTCATCTACACCTTGCTGATGCAAAGCCATCTATCCTGTCCCTCGGGGTGGTGCTCAGGAGGATGAGTGCAGGAGCAAGGGTACCAGCAGCTGCCCAGTGGAGCCACAAAACCTTTTTTCCTAACCCCAAGAAGAAAGTTTAAAATTTGTCTGGATTGCAAAATAAATCCTGTGGACGCTCCCTACTTTGATGCTCGAAGGAAGATGACATTTCCAATGCAATTAACTTTTAGAGATAGAAAAGGCAGTAATCTGCAGTCAGGCAACCAACAGCTCTGGGCTTTGTTTATTCCTTTAACACGCCTGAATTTCAGGGTAGAATTTCAATGCCCAACACTCAGGGAAAGCCTAGAGATGTCATGAAACAGTAGAAAGACTGGATGTGCTGTATCTGATATTTCTGCAATATCTGGGGGGAAAAAAAAATAAAATAAATCTGCTTTTGAACAAACCCTTCCATAAAAGAGCACAGTGGGAAAGATAACTAACCATAGTTACTTGGCAATTTCCTTTTTTCCAGGTAATAAGATGTATTACCTGTTTGCAGCTTGAGGGCAGAGCAGCCCTCCCAGTAACCCAGCGCAGGAGAGCACCGCACCTCCCCAAGGAGCTTCCATATGACATCAGTTCCCAGAATAATTCAAAACAACCTTTCTTCTGAATTGCGGATGCAGGAGGTACTTGAAGAAACACAATCACTCCACCCACTGCAAGACGCAGGGCAAATCCCACCTCCAGACAACATATCCCCTTCCTTGGATTTTTATACCCAGTATTTTTTTTTGATCTTGGATGCATAGGTCTCATCTGAAAATATCCCCTTTTTTTTGAAATAAAAAGAGATGCAACATTTTCCTATTCCTTGCGCTAATATTTTCAGATATATTAAAAGTAGAATTTTCATGCAAGAGGGCTTTTGATGAGGAGAGCCCGCTGCTGCAGGGCACAGTCCTACCTAAATCAAAGGCACCTCCTGGAAATTAGATGAACGCATCAAAAGGGCACGTTCCTCTTCACCCGCAGGCAGGTTTGGCATTTCCCTAAAATGATGATGACAGAAGCAGCAGCAAAACTGCCTGGCCTGAGATGCCTCCTGCCACCACCAGTGCCAGCGTCCTCTGTCCCTCCCCCCGGCAGGGGAGACCTCAGGGCTGAACCCACAGCCAACCACCTCAGAGTGCAAAATTTTGCCTGGAATTTCCTGATCTTTAGGAATGAAATGCATTTATTTCAGAAAATGATTTCCTGGAGAGAAGTAGAGCTCCATGGCACACAGCTTGCTGCTCTTCCAACATCTGCAA